GTTTATCAAAATTCTTAGTTTTGTTCAAGGTACATGTGTGCCAAGTGGCATGTTCCTACTAAAATTTGCAGTGGGGGTGGAGTTAGGGAGCCCACTAAGAAGGCAATGCTTGGTGAAGAATATAAAGCAGCTGTAGCTTTTCAGATAAAAGCCATCGATCTTGCCGAATCCCTCACTTTTGGGAACTACCTCCAGAACAAAAGAGATTATGTCATTTCCTGTCAAGTTTACAGTTCAATTGATATAAATTACTTACATCAAAGACAAATTCCGGTTAATTGATAACGCCTGTCAGAATAATTTCAGAATTTGTTGTTCATTGTTGCTTTCCCCCCTGAAACACCCCACCATATTCTTATTAGGTCAGGGGGGCTTGCCCCACTCTTGGGGCCAAAACCGGCGAATAACAATTGCGGGGTGGGAACTACCGAAAAAGCGCCAAAAGTGGTTTTATACTTTGGGAAAATTCTCTTTCTTTTACACTTATTGAAAAAAAAACTTGCTGTTATTGTGATATGGTCAGGTTCAGCTAGACACTCTCGCCAATTTATCGTAGAATATCTGAAGGATGGCTGAATTCAGATTGAAGGATCTAAGTTTCCTCAGAAAGTACGGCCGCTGATTTACCTTTTTAACATTATTGTTTACGTGATTTTGACCTGTAAATTTGTTATCGATTGTAAAACCAAGACATTGTATAAATCCGTGATTTCAATTGTTTCTTGTTCAATTACGAGTGGTGGGATTGTTGGCTTTTCTCTTCTAATATAAACTCATAAATCATTTCCTTTGTTTTTGAGAGGTTCACTTTTGGGAAATTTGAATTGCACCATTTAAAAAATACTCAAAATACTCTTTTTTGTCAAGGTTTATTAATCCAATAATAGCGGAGTCGTCTGCGAACTTAGGCGTGTTGATTTATTTCTATGATCATTGGTAGGACTACAGATATATATATATATATTGTATTATAATACAAAACTGGTGAATGGGGCACTCGTGGCCAAGAGGTTAAGGTGTTGACCTCTCATTCAAAGATCCTAGGTCCGAATCCGGGTAGCGACCGAAAAATTTTCTTCTCTAAAATTGTCTCCTTTCACCTCCTTTCCTTTTTTAAACTATATAATTTAGACGTTTAAACGCACGGTCACTTCCCCTAAACGCACGCTCCAATCTGCGAAACACGTTGGCAGGTAAAGCTTGACTAAGGGAAATTTCACTACGACTACTGTACGATCTGCATAGCTTGCTTAAGACAAGCCTAGAAAACGGATATTTTGCGAGACTGCCCCTTACGCCGAACAAAGAGAGTGATGGACAGCATTTTCACACACAAATTTCCAGACACATAGGTCTAGGACTGGTTGGTGATATGTTGGGGGGCTGGGGGACTGAAACGTTATTTGATTCGTTATAGGAAATGCATCTCTTTGAGAGAAGGTCTCTGACTGGTGTTTGAGTGACTGCGTGTTGGCTAATGCTTATTTAGACCTACGCCTATGATGCGCAACACGCGTGAATGCTTGTTCATGAATTTACGGTCGGGGGTGGTCGCTTGGAAAGCCACGTTTGGGCCGTTGTCTCTATGACTATCGCCAACAATTTCTTTTTAGGCTATTGGTTCCCGACATTTTATGGTGCATTCATTCATTACATCGAGTCTGTCTTTCTGCCCC